CATGTGGGAGTCGAACCAGCAACCTTGTTGTTAAGAGCATGCTCTCTAACCAACTGAGCCACCTGGCCAGCCTGACATTCCTGCAGGTTTTCAGCACAACTTCCTGTGGAGCTCCATTCTGTGAAAAATACAGCTGGCTCTACTCCTTCTCCCAGGAAAAAAAATGATGCCTTGCCCGCCAACTTTTGGCTACCTGGAATGTAACATTATTTTGCAAGGGAAGAAGCACAATGGGAAAGGGTTATATCTGTAGGGAAATCTAATTGCTCTGCAGTGAAGCATGTGAAAAATTGACAGAAAGGAAGTGGCTTAATAGTTAGAATTTCACTTCGTGTGGGATTTCCTTTTTGGGGTTTGCCCCCCTGCTCTGTTATATCATATATATATATGTTTTAAAGTTTAAAAATTCTTAATTTTTTCTCCCTGGTACCACTTCCACAATTTACAGGGCAATATACCTGATGTAATGAAAAGAAAAAGAAAAAGAGCTACAACTGATGAAAGACCTCAGGAATGTATATCTAGTTGACGCTACATTGCATTAATCAATAGCTGTACTTTTTGCAAACTGTGATTGTGACCGTCCTGAACAAGAAGGGTTTTTCCTGTTTAAGCTGCAGTAACTTTTCTGACTGGAACATCGTTCCTTCTGTGGCAGATTTTTACAGTTCCTCTAATGCGTCTGGAACAACTATTTCAAAGTAACCTGCAGCTTTCCTGACAACTCCCTGCTCTCCTGATAAGAACCATAGCCCTCTTCTGCATTTTTAGGACCTTCTGCTACCATAGCCACCACTTCTACCACCATCCATAACCACCACCATAGGGACTGTCTGAGCTTCTTCCACCAAAACTGTCCCCCTTCGTGGGTCCATAATTTGCTATTGTCCACTGTAATTTCCAAAATCATTATAGTTCCCACCATCACCATAGTTACCATAAAACTTTTCCTCTTCACTGTAACCATCATATCCCCCATGTTGGTTTCCATATCCTGGTCCACCACCACCACCACCACTACCATAGCCTCCTCTACTGCTATAACCAGGACCGCCACCATAGTTGCCACCATCACCTCCTGTGTAACTACCTCTGCTGCCACATCCACCACCACAGCCTCTTCCACCAGAGTTTCCACCACCTCCAAAGTTTCCTCCTTTAAGCGACCATAAAGTTGCCAGATCTGGGCCGGCCGAGTGGCGTGATGGTTAAGAACTGGCTTGGGACGCCAGAGGGCTCCGGTTCGGATCCCACATATGAGGGCCAGTGACACTGCCCTCTACAGCTAAGATGCTGAACAACAGCTCAACCTGGAGCTGGGCTGCCTTGAGTCTCTGGCGACAGTGTAGGCTGCAGTCCCTGTGGCAGTGGGTTGCCATGGGCTGCCGTGTGTGGCCAGCAGCCAGCATGAGCGGCCAGCAGCCGCAGTGAGCGGCCGTCCAGAAGCCAGAGACTGATGTGCCTCGCCCGGGAAGAGCGCAATGATGGTGCCAACTTGGGCCAGTGAAGCAACGTCCTCCACAACTAGACTGAAGAACAAAACAACAGCAACTTGTCTGTTGCCCTTCCCCCAATTCCCCAGCACTGTTCCCATCCCCCCAATTCCCCAATAAAAATCTTAAAAAAAAAAAAAAAGTTGCCAGATCCACTTTCATGACCTGTTTGCGATCCAGCAGACTGCATTTCTTGTTTAGAAAGGGCCTTTCTCACTTCACAGTTATGCCCATTAATAGTGTGGTATTTCTGAAGAACTATTTTATCAACTGTATCATGAACATCAAAAGTTACAAAAGCAAATCCTCTTTTTTTTCCCCACTCTGCCTGTCTTCCATAACTTCTATGGTTTCAATTGGGCCACACTTTTCAAAGTAGTCTCTCAAATTATATTGTTCTGTACCTTTGATACCACCAACAAAAATTTTTGCCACTGTCAGATGGGCACCAGGCTTTACAGGATCCTCTATAGAAACAGCTCTCTTTGGTTCCACTACACGCCCATGAAGCTTGTGTGGTGGAGCACACATCCACCTTGCTGCATTCGCCTCTTCAACACAAGAGTAAGTCGCAAAACAAAGGCCCTTGGAACATTTTATTTGGGGGTTTCTCATCACTACACAATCCGTGAGTGTGACCCATTTCTCAAAATGTTCTCTTAAACTATCATCTGCAGTTTCAAAGCTCAGACCACCAATAAACAGTTTTGTCAACTGTTCTGGTTCCTCTGGATCATGGCCCTCCATTTTGAGAACCGATTTGCCTCTTCCAACTCGAGTTCAATATGGCTGTCATCGTTATGTTTTATTTCCTGTCTACCTAGTAAATTGCTTTTATATTAGTGGTGTTTGAGACCCACTATGAATACCATTAATAGATGCACTGGAAAAAGAACAAGGAGAAAACTATGTTTATTTGTTTATTCATTTCCCATCATTTTGAGAAAGAAAGTATGAAAAGCTGTTCTATGCATACTTCCATCACCCTCTACCCATTGTTAATGATTTTTGTTAGTGGACTAATTATACCATTGATTTCACAATTAAAATAAGAAATAGGAACCATTCTTGGCTTAAATGACTTTTTTTCTGTGAATAATACAATTTTTACACTAGAGAATATTTGCAAAAACTTACTAATTACAAGGCTAAAAACATTATGTCCTTCCTAAGAGCACAAGGAGTTAAATTTAAAGGCCAACAGTTAGCACAGTTCATCACAGACCTGGATGAAAAGAGGCAAGGGCTGGGGCAGTAGTGTTTTTGTGTAGGCATCTATTCTTTCATACCCTTCCCTGAAGATCTCTTCCTCATCCTCATCATTAGCTTCTTTCATATATTATACTTCTGAGATTTGGTCAGAGCTTTGCTGACCATGCTGGACCTTTAAAATTGTATAGCAGAGAGAGCTGTTCCAATTCAGATACATTTTGATGTGGCTTAAAAAGCCATTTACTACGTAGTAATTGCATTGTTTCTGAGATTCATGAGGCGTATGGATGTGTTAAGGCTCAAGGTTCCAGTGGGAATTATGAATGCTGTGAAACTTAGAAAAACAGGGAGAGGGTTGAAGCGAGGCTCTGGAATGGTGGAAGGGCTAACAATATCTGTGGCAAAATTACTTAATAAAAAAGTTAAGAATTTTTTTATTTGGCTATTTTGGTATAAAACAGCTGTAAAGAAATGTTCTTCTTTGGTTTGATACATTAAGGGTACTCAATACATGCTTGTTGAACCTTATTTATTTATTTATTTATTTATTAAGATTTTATTGGGGAATTGTGGGAGGGAAAAGTGTTGGGGAATCGAGGAGTGGGAACAGACAAGTTGCTGTCCTTTTGTTCTTCAGTCTAGTTGTGGAGGATGTTGCTTCACTGGTCCATGTTGGTATTTTGATCATTGTGCTCTTCCCGGGTGAGGCAGATTGGTTGCCAGCCATTGGACGGCTGCTCATAGAGGCTCATGGCAGCTCACGCTGGCTGCCAGCCACTCACGGTAGCTCACGGCAGCCCACTGCAGCTTCACTGCAGCCTACGCCATTGCTGGTGACTCACGGCAGCCCAGCCCCAGGTTGAGCCGCTGTTCAGCATCTCAGCTGTAGAGGGCAGCGCCACTGGCCCTCACATGTGGGATCCGAACTGGGGCCCTCTGGCGTCCCAAGACAGCTCCTAGCCAACGCGCCACTTGGCCGGCCCTCTTTTTTTTTTTTTAAAGGTTTTATTGGGGAATTGGGGGAGGGGAACAGACAAGTTGCTGTCCTTTTGTTCTTGTGTCTGGTTGTGGAGGACCTTGCTTCACTGGCCCATGTTGGTATTATCATTGCGCTCTTCCCGGGTGAGGCAGTCACTCACCAGCCATTGGACGGCTGCTCACAGCAGCTCAGGAAAGCGCACGCTGGCTGCTGGCCAGCCCCACTGCAGTCTACACCGTTGCCGGCAACTCAAGGCAGCCCAGCTCCAGGTTGAGCTGTTGTTCACTATCTTAGCTGTAGAGGGCAGTGTCACTGGCCCTCATGTGGGATCCAAACCAGAGCCCTGCTGCTCAGAGCTGGCGTCCCAAGCCAACTCCTAGCCAACACGCCACTTGGCTGGCCCTGTTGAACCTTATTTTTAAACCAATGACATGTTTTCAACCCTCCATCTCCTCTTGTATAATTTTGTATTTGGGCCACACAAATTACCCAAATTATGGTTACAAACTTAAAAATAGCATGGCAGATTTTAGTAAAATGAATCATATTTTTTGGATGAGAATGAGGTCAAATAAAGACTTGGTAAACATAAGTCCCTTTAAAATCTCCACACAACTTTCCACTATTCCAATTTTTTATTGTGTCTCTATCATCATGTGAATTTGACTAAGTTACATTAAGCTCTCCAGACCTCATTTCCCTCTTTTTTAAAATTAAGGGGTTGCATTAATTAGTCTTTAAGGTCCATTTTAGACATGCTGTAGACATTTTAATTTTGGCAGCTCATTTACTAATTAAGTTACTTTTCTAAAGCACTGTAATTCAAGATAAATAGAATTTTCCTCATAAAAAAAATTTTTTTTAAATCTGTTTTCAGAAATAACCTTAGCTATCTTTTCATTATGGTGTACGTATCATGACTTTACCTTTGGGAACACAACCTGTGATTTCAGCATTGTAAATGGAAGTAACAAGTTTAAACCACTTTGAAGGTGGTGAGACCTAAACTCGAATTCTAGCTCTGATAAGTATTGGCTTAGTAACCTTAGGAGAATTACTCACTCTCACTAAGCCTCAATTTCCTCATTGTAATATGAAGATAGTAATGTATTTATAAAGTTATTGTGAGAATTACATAAGATAATGGAGGTAAATTGCTTAGCATGGAGTCTGGTTTATAGCAAACAATACATATTACCTAATGTTATTGATATCATAAATTAAGGATTCTTTCACTCAAATATTTATTAAGTAAACTAATAACTAGAATGTCTTCCCGATGTAAACTAACCAAAAATATTTTTTTCTCATTGCAGATCTTATATTGCACTTTAAATACACCTAAAGTTGACATGGAAAAACTCTTAGGAGCACAAATAGGTCTTGAAGATTTCATATTTGCCCATGTGAAAGGGATAAAAAAAGAAGTGACTGTTTATAAATCTGAGGATTCACTTGGTCTGACTATTACAGATAATGGTGTTGGCTATATTTTTATAAAGGTAAGTCTTAAAAAATAACTCTGTGACCTAACTGAGGGTAACACTTAATAAAATTTGCCAGGTCAAAGAAAGTTGGAAATGATCTTCAGAGTGAGAGCCAGCTCAGCAGGGGTGGATAGGTTGGTAATGTTTCATCTAAAAAATGTTCCAAAAACATCATTTTTTTGTTTACTCTTTCCTTGAGTTTATTCTATTCAGTTTGAACTTCTGCTAGAATTTAGAACTTTCTGAGAACTTGACCCTGGTCCCTATTCATTATCCCTATGAGTTCCTGGTGATCTGTAGCTCATTAACATTTGATGACTTCCATGCGGATTTCCATTGCTTTAGTGTTATTTCCAAGTACACATGTTTTTTGGCCACCTTATTTACATCTTTAAAAATGCTCTTCAAAATTTTATGAGCTGTGTAATTCCTTTATCTAAATACAAAGAGAGCAATGTAGAGCTGCAAAGGCAATGTAGAGCTGAGATGGAAGTTTGAAATCAGGTATGAAAAACTGTAAGAACTGAGGAGTGGTAAAAAGAAAAGTAGACTCATCTCTTAAAAATAACAGTTCTATTATTGTAATAAGCAGTTGTAATAACACTGACATATTGAATGCCTATCATGTACTGGGTGCTTTGCATACATTTTCTCATTTAATCTTCACTACAATTCTATTTGTCGGATAGTAAGATTTTTCTTTTTACTTACTTTTTTGTTGAAGGTAACAAAATTTTAATATATGGCTTAATGAATGTTTATATACTCACAACTGTGTAACCACCACCCAAATCAAGGAAGATTTCATTTCTGCCATCCAGAAGGTTCCTTGTGTATCTTTCCAGTCAGTACTCTTCCCCACAAAGGTAGCCACTATTCTGACTCAAGCACTATAGTTTTGCTTGTTCTTGAACTTCATGTAAGTGGAATCATTTATTATGCACTCTCCTGTTTCTGGCTTTTTTTGTTTAATATAATGTCTGAGATTCATCCATGGGTAAACACCATTATTAACCTCTATTTTACAGATGTAGACAACAGAATCAGGAAGTTTAAGTAGCTTGCTCAAAGATTTGCAGCTAGACAAATTCAGGATTTGAATCTAAGAGATCTGACTCCAGAGGTGGCAGTCCTACCCACTGAGCTAAGAATAGCGATAAACTTCATGCAATGGAACATGTTTTCATGCCTTTATTTTGTCAAAATCTTTGATTTGCTGAGGCATTGTCATCATTAAAAAATAGTCTTAGGGAAGTTATCTTCTTAACTGTAAATAGTACCTTATTTAACTTCCCACTTGATTGAATGGCTATTTTTAGCCTTGCAGGAGATATGACTGTGCTGAAGGTTGAGTGGGTGACCAAATGGAAAATCTGTGAGTTGGGAAAGTCATGTGGGATTATCTGGGGGAAGCTCAGGACATGAGGCACATGCAGCAATGCCTTTCTAATGTCAGCAGGGAAGGGCTTGGAAGTTTTGCAAATCTGCATGGATATTTTAGATCTTAGCCTCTGATGTTCAGAGCTTGTGTTTCTTTCTTTCTTTCTTTTTTTAATGCCTTGTCAAATATGTGCCTGTCTAAGAGCACTAGTCACTAGCTCTGTGGAGACAGAGAACATGGTGGCAAAGAGAAGTGGTGTATAATCCATACTGCCAACATATAGTTCAATTTAGAAGAGAAATGAATTTCATATTGTGTATATAGTTGATAGGATTTTTAAACAGTTGAGAAGGAGATAGTTTCAAACTTACTGAATGATTGTAATAATAACACGAAGAATTCCCATAAAACCCTTTACTCAGGTCTCCAATTTTTACTACATGCCACATTTGCTTTATTGTTCTCTCTCTCACACACATATTGTGTATATATACACACACGCATGCACACACACACACATACATATACGCAAATTTCCCTGAATCATTTGAAAAAGTGGATTTCATACGAGGTGTGACAATTAAGTTCACGAACTTGTTGCAACGCTGTTGCTAACCTTTTTTGATATCAGAGAGATTATTCATTATGAATTTGTAATAACTTGACAAACAGTTAACCAAGTTTACTATTTGGAAGTGTTGAAAAGGCTGCTTGAAAAACTTAGATGACCTGAACTTTTCGCCAATAATTCATGGCTCTTGCCATGGTGCACAACAATGCACCAGCTCACATGGCGCTGTCTGTGAGGGAGTTTTTAGCTAGTAAACAAATAACTACTGGAACACCCTCCCTCCTCACCTGATCTGGCCCCCAATGACTTCCTTCTTTACCTGAAGATAAAGGAAATATTGAAAGAAAGACATTTTGTTGGCATTCAGGACATCAAGGGTAATATAATCACAGCTCTGATGGACATTCCAGAAAAAGAATTTCAGAATTGCTTTGGGGCCGGCCGAGTGGCGCGATGGTTAAGAACTCGCTTGGGATGCCAGAGGGCCCTGGTTTGGATCCCACATATGAGGGCCAGTGACACTGCCCTCCACAGCTAAGATGCTGAACAACAGCTCAACCTGGAGCTGGGCTGCCCTGAGTCGCCGGCGACGGCATAGGCTGCAGTCCCTGTGGCAGTGGATTGCCATGGGCTACCGTGTGTGGCCAGCAGCCAGCGTGAGCGGCCAGCAGCCGCAGTGAGCGGCCGTCCAGAAGCCGGCGACTGATATGCCTCGCCAGAGAAGAGTGCAATGATGGTGCCAACTTGGGCCAGTGAAGCAACACCCTCCACAACTAGATTGAAGAACAAAACGACAGCAACTTGTCTGTTCCCCTTCCCCCATTCCCCAGCGCTGTTCCCATCCCCCAATTCCCCAATAAAAATCTTTAAAAAAAAAAAAAGAATTGCTTTGAAGGGTGGAGTGGGCACTGGCATCGATGCATAGCTTCCCAAGGGGAGTACTTCAAAGGTGACTGTAGTGATATTCAGCAATGAGGTATGTAGCACTTTTTCTAGGATGAGTTTGTGAACTTAATTGTCAGACCTCATATATTTTTATCCCTTAATACTTCAGAATGTAATTACTTCGAACAAAGATATGCTCTTATATATAACTACAGTACAACTATGCCATTCAGGAAATCTATCAGTGATATCATGCTTTTAAACTAATCTAATGTGTCATATTATCAGTTGTCCTAATAATGTCCTCTATAGCACTTTTTTCCTGGTATAGGTCCAATATAAGATCATGTATTGCATTTAGTTGTTATGTCTTTTTAGTTGGCTTTGTTCTAGCAAAGTTCCTCAGCCTTTTACAGAATATCTCTCAAATTGGCTTTTTCTGATTTTTCCTCATGTTGAAAAACAGGTTATACATTTTTGGCAGGAAAACTAGATAAGTGATGTGTCCTTCTCAGTGCACTACATCACAAGGTGCATTTTGTTGCTTTGCCTCATTATTTATGACATTAATTTTTGTTACTTGTCTAAGGTAGTGTCTGTCAGTCTTATTCAATGCAAAGTTATATTTTCCTTTGTAACAATTTGTGGGGAGATATTTTAAGATTATGAAAATATCCTGTTCTCTTATCCCCCACAGATTTTGCATCTATTGATAAGTATTGTGTGAAACAGTCATTAGTATAATGGTTGTAAAGTTGCAATTTTTCTAATTCCATGATTCCTTATATAAGTTTTTAAAAACATTCTATTATAAAAAAGCACTCCACTTATGAGATGTGATCTCAAAATACAGTGAATGTTTAAATAAAAATTTATTACTGTGAAAGACACATTGCCATTAATTCCCCTCAAAATAGTCCCCCTCTCTTCGAACACACTTATCCCATCATTCTTGCCACTTTCTGAAGCAGTTCTGGAAGTCCTCTTTCCCGAGTATGTTTAGTTGCACTGTCGTGGCTGCCTTAATGAACTGATTTGATTCAAAACATTTAGCTTTCATGGTCATTTTGACTTTGGGGAAGAGACAGAAGTTGAACAGTGCCAGATCCAGTGAATAAGGTGGAGGAGGACACACTGTAATGTTTTTATTTGACAGAAATTGCCATATACCAGAAGCAATGTGTGACATGGAGCCTTTCCGTTGTGATCAACAAATATGGTGACTGCTGCTGCCTGCCAAGGGCCAGCCAACGGAAAGACAGGGATCTTCAAAACAGGAAACGGCATGTCGAACCTCAGTAACAGTGTGTGACAAGTTTCAACTTGTTCAGTGCAGTCAGTCGGGTGTGAGCTACGGTTGAGAGAAGGTGTGTTTTAAAGTGTGCCACAGGGCTGTTGGAGTGGCACGTTGGTTAAGAGTTGGCTTGGGACGCCAGTTCTGAGCAGCAGGGCCCCAGTTCAGATCCCACATGAGGGCCAGTGATGCTGCACCCTCTACAACTAAGATGGTGAACAACAGCTCGACCTGGAGCTGGGCTGCCGTGAGTTGCCAGCGACATTGTAGGCTGCAGTGGGGCTGGCCGGCAGCCAGAGTGAGCAGCCGGCAGCTGGCGTGAGCTGTCGTGAGTTGCCGTGAGTGGCTGTCCGATGGCGGGAGACCGATCTGCCTCACCCGGGAAGAGTGCAATGATAATACCAACATGGGTCAGTGAAGTGACGTCCATCACAACTAGACTGAAGAACAAAAGGACAGCAACTTGTCTGTTCCCCTTCCCCAATTCCCCAATGCTGTTCCCCTCCCCCAACCCCCCAATAAAAT